CCCCAAAACCCCAAAACCCCAAAACCCCAAAACCCCAAAACCCCAAAACCCCTTTGATCAACTTAAATTGAAGTAAAATAATACGAATTTATCTAATAAATTAACCTTCTTGTAAGAACTCGTGTAGAAGGAGTTGCTCAGAAGAAGGCCTCATTTTGGGTTCAATGATAAAGCATCATTCAAGAAAATCTTTGAGCTTATCAGAAAAGAAATCTGGGATTGGAGGATGATCAAAACGATCTCAGAGCTTGTATAAATCCTCAATATTATTTCCAATATTCTCTTCTCCCCATGGGTTAGCTCAGGTAGCCATTTCTATGATGGTTCATCCAAGAGACCAGATATCTGCCTTTCAGTCAGACATTTTTTGCCTGATAACTTCAGGAGCCATCCACGGAATGGTTCCCTTAAGTGATTTATAAAGGTTATGTCATGTCATACTCTTTTGAATAATTTTTGCTCAACCAAAATCTGATATTTTGACATGTCCATTCTTAATCAGAATGTTGGCTCATTTTAGGTCCTGATGAACAATATTATTTCCATGCAAGAAAGCAAGGCCATTCAGAATTTCTCAACAGTACTTCTTAATAAGCTTCTCATCAAAAGGACCGAATTCTTTATACATATTAACCAGACTTCCTTCAGTTGCGAATTCGAGATAAATGTAGAAAGTGTCTGCACGAATTATCTCAGAGCCAATATATTTTATTATAAATTCATGCTCAAAATCCTTCAAGATCTTAATCTCAGATTTGAGTGCTTCTATAGCATCCTTGTTGAACTCATTCTGATTCTTTTGAATAAGCATCTTTTTAACTGCAAAAATACTTCCGTCTGTGCGGTCGATTGCTTTGACTACATCTCCATAGGCTCCAAAGCCAAGGCGTTCACCTTTAGACCACTTTTTGAGGTTTCCAAACACAGGAGCTAGTCCTTGAGGTTTCTTTTTGAGGAGTCCAATACTGATATTATTAGGTCTGCCAATAAACTTGCTCTTGTCTTTAAAAGATATCTGTCTAGTGTAAATATCATTCTTATGGCTATCGCCAGACCCCATCTTGGGAAATTCAGTAGTATTCTCCTTCAAATTTTCATTTGTCTGAAGCTCCTTGATTTCTTCCATCAAATACTGATCATTTGATTGTTGAGTAGTAGAAATAGGCAAATTTTCAGAAATTTCAGATTCGTTATTATTAGTAGACTTCTTCTTCAGTCTGTTCTTGAGTACTGGGGAGATAAACTTGCTGCACACCGAGAGCTGACTGACTCCCCCAGTTACTGTCTTATCAAAGTTGCTGTCCCCAATAGTGTTGTTGATCTTCTTCATGCTTTTCTCGATTCTAGTCTTGTAAGTTCCTATCTTTTTAGGTTTCTTCCTTTTATCAAAAGTACCAGACTTTAGCTTCATTGGATCTAAAAGTTGATTGGAGACAATTTTTGGGTGCAGAAGAAAGGACTGACGTTTTGAAGAAGAATCCTCTAGCTTGTCAGCTCCAAGGTTGGAGCAATGTTTCTCCTCCTCACCATTTTTAGAAGTGCTAAGAACTTCTCCTCTTTCATTTTCGCTTCCGAGGAGATAGCCATCAATATCTACCTCTGATGGTTCTTGTTCAATTCTTTTGGCTATGGAATACTGGTTTTTATACTTTTTAACATTTCTGGTTGACAGATTAACTTCAAATTTCCTGTCACGAGAGTTATGCTCATTGACTGTTACTTTATGCTCCACAAAGGAGTACTCGCTGACGCTTTCGCTAAGTGCCTCGCTGTTGTTTGGCTTCAAAATTTCACATTGAATGTCCTGGTCCTTCATTGTAGGAGGATATACCTTTGCCCCGCTACTTCTACGGAAAGTAAATTGGCTATAGGTTAGTAATTAGTAGATACCCTGGACTTGAATACCCATTTTCAGATCCATCATTCATGCCATTATGGCCTGACTTATTTTGAGCATTTCCAAAAGCTGGAATGGTAAGGTAAGGCGTATCATCGTATTCGCCGATTTGTTCATTAGGGTAGTAATTGCTATTATCCATAATTCGGATCAAACTTTCTTCTTCCTTCTTGTCATGGTCATGCATCATGGTGTTGTTCTAAAGTTTACTGGACTTGTATTACAATTGTTGTTTTCCATTTATTTATTTCATGTCTTTCTAAACTTTGTCGAACTTTTGGAGCAACATTGAGATCCTTGATCCTGTCTCTCCGCTTAGCAAGGCTGATAGTACCTCTGTATTCCTTCCTGGCTGAGTTCTATAATTATGAATGGAAAGTTACTATCTGATTGAAGGATGTATATGCTGGTAGGGAAGAAGTAAAATCGTAATCATTCCGTAACGAGTTCCTCTTTGAGTTGTCAAATGTGTTATTGATGAGTTTCTTAGAGCTTCCTCTAATAGAAGGTCTTAATGATACCCTACCTATTTTTATTCAGCAATTTTTCAATAACAAGTTTTGCATTAATCGAATTTGAAGCAGCAAGAGCTCTAGCGCTTGCGCTAGAGCTGGTAGCTTGGCTATTATTATGTAAGACTCTTGAGGAAATTGTGCCTGCTCCAAGGTGTTTCCTGTCAGGTTTGAGTCTTTTTAGAGCTGTGCTTCTTACTGTGGTCGCCATTAGACCAGAGTTTTTCTTCTTTTGTCTTGAAGGAAATCAAAGCCAAGGCATGTTTTTATTATATTATGATTTATGCTTTTTAAATGGGGTTTTGGGGTTTTGGGGTTTTGGGGTTTTGGGG